CGGAGGAGTGGCTGGTGGGTTTGAACCACTAGCCTTCTGGTTAGCAGTCAAGTGCCTTAGGCACACAAAAGTGATTAGTACTATAAATATACATAATAGATAATAAATCACCAGTCCACTGGTTATTCAGTTATCACCTTAGGGCCATCTTTGACTCATTCTATACATCTCTTCAAACAGCTAATTAGTCAACAATTCTCATCACTTCATCCTCTATCTCTGACTCTAGTTCCAGCTGTGTCACTTTGGGTTTTCTGGGTAAATGTAGACAAGAGGTTCTCAAGTAGGGACAATCTCAAGTAGAGAAATGGGGACAATAATTGCCTGAAAGAGGGAAGAGAAGTCTGCTATTGGCATCTAGTAGGTAGAGCCCAGGGATGCTGCTAAACATCCCACAGTGCACATGGCAGCCCCCAACAACAAATTCAGCAACATAAAATGTCAATAGTTCCAAGGCTGAGACACCTGGTTATATAAGGCTTCAATTTTACCTCATTTTCCCAAGCTTATCTCTTCCACTATTCTTTTACCCAATTCTGACACCCAAATATACATGACGTTTCTCTGTCTCAAAACTTGCACTAACATTTCCTTCGCCTAGACTGCTATTTATCTAAATATGGTATTTCTTTCAGTTGATAGTTTAACTCTTTTTCCTCAATGTAATTTTTCTAGATCAAGCCAATCTAAAGTAGCCCCATCTCCTTTGAAAGATCTGAACTAAACAAGTGTTATAATAACCATGCCTTATATCATCTATCCCTTATTTTGTGTAATTATTTTATTATTATTGCTTTGTGAATCAAAACACCTAACAAAGTGTTATGAAAAACTAGATGGTCAATGAACACATCTTGACCCACTTTTCCAAAGTCAGATTATGCACAAAACACAAAGTCTCTGACTCTTCTTCCAGTTAAATTATTTTCTAGTGATGTAACTCACTAAATTAACTATTGTTCAGGACCTAAAGCTAAGCTTTTTCCTTTTGTAAGAGAGTGGAGGGGGAAGGCACGGCATTGCTAGGTTGCCTTGTATAATGGAAGTAATACATGCACACATATTTAAAAGCATTCAATTTATATAGCTGATTATTAATCATAAAAATGTCTCTTACAGTATCCTCAACCCTAGGCTCAAATCTCAAATATAAACATTTTAACTAGGATAAATCATGAAATTAGCAATATTCTGTTTTAGACTTACAAAGCTGGTATCTTCATAGGGTTCCACTTAATATTTCTATATATGGCTCATTCCATAATTATATTTCAAGTAATTATATATATAATTATTTAATAATTATATATTATTATATACAAATAATAGCATATTTTATATATATACAATATACTAACACCTCATTTCTGGACTTAACTTTAAAATTTATTAACTGACCGTCTTCATTCAAAAAAGAGAAATTTAGCTCGGCTTTCACTTTACAAATAAAAGATAAGCTATTTTCAGTTTCTTAATTTTCTAAAGGAACTCTGGTAGCCTAGTGCCTAAGACACTTGACTGCTAACCAGAAGGCTGGTGGTTCAAATCCACCAGCCACTCCTCCGAAGGAAGGTTGGGCAATCTACTTCCATAGTGATAGTGCCTCAGAAACCCAAGAAGGGGTCACTATGAGTCAAGTCCAACTTGACAGCACATAACAACAAGAAGGACCTAACTCATAGTGACCCCTCCTTGGGTTTCCGAGGTGGTATCACTACGGAAGTAGATTGCCCAACCTTCCTTCCGAGAAGTGGCTGGTGGGTAGAGGTTTATAATTACTAAATTTATTAATGATGATTTGCCAATCTTACTGGCAGGTCATCTTTCAGCAATGCTGATTTTTTTCCTATTTTATCATCTGAAAACCATGTGTATAAAATTGTGTATCTGCAAGGCTGTTCAATATAATAACCTTCAGTATTTTCTGTATTTATTATTAAAGCCAAACAGAAAAATAAAACTTCACTTCTAGAGCATGTTTTTCAAGACACTATGGTCAGGACAGATGGTTAGCTACTATTTCTTCATCTTCACCTTAATCTCTTCATAAGAAGGCGTAGGATTCCAACTCCCACATGTTTGAAAACCAGTATATATTTAATGTGTATTTTCTGTAAAGTTCAACTAAACATACTATCTTGTTGTTGTTGTTGTTATGCACCGTCAAGTCGGCCTCAACTCATAGCGACCACTCCTTGGGTTTCCAAGGCAGTATCACTACACAAGTAGGATTGCCCAACCTTCCTTCTGAGGAGTAGCTGGTGGGTTTGAACCGCCAGCCTTCTGGTTAGCAGTCAAGTGCCTTAGGCACTGCGCTACCAGAGCTCCTAAACATATTATCTTAGGTAGAAAAAAAGATTCAAACAGAAACTATCCATAACCTAGACTAAGCCAACATTTTGGCTATAGAAGGGCACCAATATCCTATGAAGCAACAGTACAAAATATGATTGTTTCTGTTAACTTTTAATTATTTTAAATGAAATCATTTTCTACCAAACTCTCATTTGCATTAATGTTCAAGAACTACACAGATAATTAAAATAAATAAGGTAATAGGTCATTATAATACAAAAATAATGTGCAACAATGACCTAAAGTCACTAATTTAAGCATTCCAAGAGGCAAGGAAAGGAGCTCTGGTGGTATAATGGGTAAGGCATTTGGCTGTTAACCAGAAAGTCAGCAGTTCAAACCCACCAGCTGCTCCATGAGAAGAAGATAAGTCAATCTACTTCTGTAAAGACTTACATCCTTGGAAAACCAAAGAGGGTTGCTATGACTCATAATAAACTCAACAGCACTGGGTGTGTTTTTTTTTTAAGAGGCAAAGAGGGAAAAGGCCTAGTGCAACAGACTAGACATGACAGAAGGGGAGAGAAAGTCATTCCTAAAAACATTCAAATTCTAAATTTAAAAAAAAAAACAGCAGCCTAACTAAACTCATCCTACCAGCTTTCACAAATCGAGAGCTCCTTCTGGATAGGATTTAACTTAACAAGGGCAGAAATGTCTATGTAACTTGATGCCACAAATTGTGATGAGAATGTAGTTTATCTTTGTATCACTAGATTGCTTTATCCCAGGTAAAGAAAAGTGATACTTGTGAATGACTCTATCTCATAAAAAAGTTATCTACAAACTCAGGATTTATTGTGACAAAAATAATTATGGAATACTTAAAGATAATAAGCTTTGGAGTTTTTCCTATGACGGTATTCAAAGAATTCATACCTTCTGAGACTCAGCTACTGTCTCAGTTTGCAACTTCTACCATAAACCAAAAGCTACATTCCAGCCAAAAAGAATATATTGTCTGTCAATGATCATCAAGAGAACTAAGAAGACAGATTTAAATTTTACCTCCTTTCTCTTCCCTGGAGGAGCTCAGGTGGTGCAGCGGATAAAGCATTCAGCTGCTAACCAAAAGGTCAGTTTGAACTCACCAGTAGCTCCACAGGAAAAGGATGAGGCAGTGTGCTCTTGTAAAACTTTAGTCTTGGAAACCTACAGGGCAGTTCTACTCTGTCCTACAGGGTAGTTATGAGTCAGAATGAACTGGATGGCAGTGAATTTGTTTTTTTTATTTTGGTTTCCCATCCCTATCTTTCCCTTCTTTGTAAATTACCAAAATTACTGAATGGTTGGTGGGTTGAAACTGCCAACCTTCTAGTTAGTTAGCAGCTGAGCACTTTACCACTGCACCACCAGGGCTCCTTGAATAAATGGAAGGATTTAAGAGCTAAGAAACAAAGATTAAAAAGCACTTAAACTTATCAACTTCTGATAGATGTTTGTGAACTAAATCAAGCAAGCACAATATCCACCTAGTTTCAGTTTAAGAATATATCTACCTCCTCTTGAGATTAAACAGTGAAAGTATTTTGGAGTCAAAAGATAAATTAGATCTATTACCAACTGAGTGACCTCATGCAAGTTCTTTAAGCTCAAGAGAGCATTCTTTGGCTATAAAATAATTACTTCCTTCACTGAGTTAGTGTAAAAATAAATGATAGTATTAAAAAGAAAAATTCACAGTAAAGCACAATGCTGCTTGTTAATATTATCAGAAGTAATAAAAGTAATGCTGCAAAATCTAATTTCATCTCTTCCTACCATCCTTAGCATGGAAAAGCCAGAAGAAAGAAGAGCAAAATCTAGCAAACTCTCTGGAAGAGAGTTTAAAAACTGGGAAAAGGATGAAATTGGAAGCTCTTTCATTTCTCACTTTATTTAACCATCCATCAAAGAGGCAGAATGACACATAGTTTTCATTTCTCATATGTGTTTATTTTCACCTAAAATATTTAAGCGATTGTGTTTTTCAGATTCCCTCAAGGAAAAGTTGCACATGGAAAAGAAACTACAAGAGAACCATACTTTTTTTTTATATTTTCTAATTTGGTACATGAATTATTACCTTTTAAAGATTAATATTAAAATCATAAAATATGATGAGCAAGCATGCATGCTTTATGCCTCAGAGATTTTTGAAAGGCACAATCCACAAGCTGCAGTACTACTATAACTTAAAGTTATAGTTTTTATTCTAGTTAAAGACAAAAAACAAAACTCCCAGGAATAGGACTGCCAAGTGATTTGAAAAGAAAATCATGGACTGTATATGGCCCATATTACTCGCAGGTTATTATTCTACTTCTAGATATCCCTTGTCTTTTTTTTTTCCAACCATGAAATATGCATAAATATATTTAAGGTATAAAATAGAGAAAATGCTTTGGCATCTTTGCAGTAAGTCCTTCCCTACTTGCTAATTACCGCTGAATAAGTAGCAACAAAAACAAGCAATGATAGGATCTAGTGATAGGATCTTGGGGAAATGTGGTAAATCAAATGGACAAAATAAATGAAGTTTATGTGCTTTAACTTTATAAATTGGCACTTAACCAAAACCGATTCTTTAAAAAAGAAGAAAAAACTCTGAAAATAAGCCCATCTCCAGGAAGCTGGAAAAAGGGAAGAGAGAAGGAAACATTTACCTGAAGCATCTCCAACTTTAAAATCACTGTCATCTGAACTATCATAATCGAGAGCTTCTAGCAGAGAAGCGGCCAAAGGCTTCACCTGCCTCCTCTTGGAGCTGCGATCCACTGTTAAGAGAAAAATATTACATCGTCATTCATAATCCAACAACAACAGGGGGTCCACGGTGCTGAGGGAAGATAAGAAACCATCGCGCAGGAAACCTTTGTCTAACTCAGTTCTCAGGATGCAGGCAGGGGGTGGGGGGAGGCTAGGAAGCTCCATGGGTAGCTCCAGCACTCAGGTGTAGCCAACGCAAACCCTACCTCCCGCCAACTCCCTCAAAAAAAAAAAAAAAAAAACCATTGACATCCAGACGATTCGGACTCATAGCGACATTACAGGGCAGAGTAGAATTGCCCCCATGGGGTTGCCAAGACTAATCTTCAACCGGAAGCAGAGTACCACTTCTTTCTCCCTGGGAGCGGCTGGTGGGTTCCAGTCGCTAACCTTAGCAGTCCAGCGCTTTAACCATTGAGGCACCAGGGCTCCTTAACGCAAACCCAGATGGGCCAAAATCGAAGCTGAGTACCCTCTTTTTCCACATCTTGTGGAGATGTTTCAGAGACTCGCTCTCAATCTCAACTAGACACCGCAACAGTCAATTAAAAAAAAAAAAAAAAGGAAAGCCCAGGTAATAAAAGCAGTGTTTATTCTCTTAGACACTGGAAGGAGACCTCCCACGACAGGTCCCCGCAAGACCCCCATCCCCACCCCCACGCCCAGCTCCTCCTGTTATCTAGGAGGGCTGAAATGGATCTCTCTCCCCTCGGAAGCCTCGGACACACTTACTAAAGAATCCGTGAGGTGCTCGTTTGGAGGAGACCTAGGGAGAGGATGCGGGAGCACAGGCAGCGCCGAGATCGGGAGTGGGAAAGCGGAGGCAAGTCCAAAAGATGCTATTTAAAATGGGCGAAACCGCCTACCCGGCCCCCACGCAGCAAGAATAGCCCTGCGGATCCCCTCCCGCCCCCAAGTCCTCTAAGAACCAGGCCAGGCCGCTCGCGCCCCTTCCCACGGCGCTCCCCGGCCAGAGGCGCCCTCTGGCCCAGGCAGCGTGGCTAAGCCTGCGGCCCTGGGGTGTTAATTTCCCCCGTTAAAACTGGAAAAAAAAACGAAAGAAAGAAAAACTTTATTAGCCTGCATCAGAAACAAAAGACCCAGAAATTTGTACAGTCTGACGCCGGTTGCCGGAGACAATAGGTAAAGCAACGACCCGGATACAGCTCTAACGAGAAGGAAGTGAAAACAGGAGACAGCTCAGCCCTGAGAGCTGTAGGAGTCGAGAGCGCGTGCGCTGAACTCGCGCACTACACTGCCCCAGCAGGAATCGAACAGAGCCGAGCGGTGACAAAGGGAGCCGAGTAGTGCCGAGCAGGAGCAAACAATGCTCCCAGATCGATGCGGCTCCTCCCACAAATCACTGCGGCCCCGCCTTCTCCGCCCCCAACTCCGCCCTCAGCTCTATTCATCTGTGAGACTGATTTTGGTTTTGAATTGTTTTTAGATAATTTATTCAAAATAAACTTCCCACAAAAGTTCGTTTTCTGCTTTAAACCACTACCCAAAAGCAGAGACAACCATTCACAAAAACATGTTAAGTAACTATGGTAACAATGATTTACTGCAGACGTGTCTGCATAAATAAGGCATATACTTAGTTTGCTAAGAAAAAAAAAATAGGAAAAAATATTCTTTCTCACAAACATGTTGCATATTATCTGAGAATGTATATCTGTATGAATGTGTTATAATGCTTCACATGTACCTGGGGAATTTATTTTTTAAGATGAATTGCTAAATCCATAAAAGCACGAAGACAGTATGATACGTGCAATTGGATTTGACAGTCCTTAAACAGTTTTATTCACCATGTTTGTTGACATACAAGTTAATATTTAATAGTTTGTAAAATGTTTGTATGTATATCGAAGCATAGAGAAACTTTGGATGAAGCTGATTAAATTCATTTATTTATACCACAATCATACATTGAGTGGCAAAGTTTGTAACACTGGGAACTATGTTATGAAAGACAGTGTAAATCAAATTTGTAGGAATCAAATAATATAATTCAGTAATGGATCTTACTATGTAAAGAAACGTGGGTTGAAATCTTTTGTAACAATAAATTGAAATCAAATTTTCTAACATTTAATTTGAATAAATATTTAGTAAATATTTATTTAATGCCTAGGAGCTCTGGTGGCATAGAGCCTAAGGTATTTGACTGCTAACCAGAAGTCTGGCAGTTCAAACCCACCAGCCACTCCTCGGAAGGAAGACTGGGCAATCTTAGTTCAGTAGAGACACCACCTCTGAAATCCAAGGAGAGGTCACTATGAGTCAGTTCTGACCAAAGGACACTGAGTTTGTTTTGTTTTGTTAACATTTATAAGATATTAGGAGTCCCTGGGTTGTACAAACAGTCTGGACTAACCAAAACTTTGGAAATTTGAGTTGTCTAAGAGGTGCCTGGAGAAAGGCCTGGTGATCTACTTCCAGAAAATATAACCACTGAAAACAGCAGAGACTAGAGGAACCACCTGAGAATATTGCCCTGAAATATCCTTCAAACTTTCAGCTGAAACCACTCCCGGATGTCACATTTCAGGTAACTAACACATTGGCTCAAAAAATTACTGATATCACCCATGAGTATTCGGCTTCTTTAAACAAAAAAAAAAAATCTATATGAGCCTAAACTGTCAACTTTTACCCTAAAGCAAAGATGAGAAAGAAGGGTAGGGTGAGGAAGATTAATAGAAACACAACAACCAGAACTGAAATAATGAGAATGTTGACACCAATGTAGAAAACGTAACTGTTATCACTGAACAATATGTATATAAACCACCATAAACCCCCCCAAAAAAAAAGTTGCCATCAAAGGGACCGTAAAAGATAGAGCAGAACTGCCACAAAGGGTTTACAAGGCTATAATCTTAACTGAAGCACACTAGCACATCCATCTCCTGAGGAGCAGAAAGTGGGTTCAAACTGCTAACTGTTCTGTTAGCAACAAGCATTTAACCACTGTGCCACCAGGACTCAACAATGAATATAAGAAAAACCCACTGCCATCGAGTCAATTCTGACTCATAGTAACCTCCCATTGGGTTTCCAACAATGTAAATCTTTACGGAAGTAGATTGCATCATCTTCCTCCCACTGAGCCGCTGGTGGGTTTGAACCACCAACCTTCTGGTTAGCACTCAAATGCCTTACCCATTAAGCCAATAAGTACGTTGTTGTTGTTAGGTACGATGAGTTGGCTCTGACTCATAGCAACCCTGTGTACAACAGAATGAAACAATGCCTGGTCCTGTGCCATCATCCCCATCCTTGCTACACTTTAGCCTATCCTTGCAGCCACTGTGTCAATCTCTCTTTGAGGGTCTTCCCCTTCTTCACTGACACTCTACTTTATGAAGGATGATATCCTTCTCTAGGCAGTGGTCTGTTCTGAGAACATGACCTAAGTAAATGAGACAGAGTCTGGCCATTCTTGCTTCCAAGGAGCATTCCAGCTGCAATTCTTCCAGGACAGATTTGTTCTTCTTTTTAGCAGTCCCCGGTATTTTCAGTATTCTTCATCATACCACAATGCAAAGGCATCAAGTCTTTTCAGTTTTCCTTACTCATTGCCCAGCTTTCACACAGTAGAAGGCACATGAAAATACCATGGCTTGAGTTTTGTTGTTGTTATTTGCCCTCGAGTCGGACCCGACTCATAGCAACTCCTCCTTGGGTTTCTGAGGCAGTATCACTACGGAAGTAGATTGCCCAACCTTCCTTCTGAGGAGTGGCTGGTGGGTTTGAACTGCCAGCCTTCTGGTTAGCAGTCAAGTGCCTTAGGCACTACACTACCAGAGCTCCCTGGCTTGGGTAAGGCTGGTTTGGGTTTGGCACACCTTAATCTTCAAAGTGACATCTTTGCTCTTCAACACTTAAAAGAGGTCTTTTGCAGCAGATTTACTCAGTACAATATGACATCTGATTTCCTGACTGCTGCTTTCTTGGGTGTTGATTGTGGATCCAAGTAAAATGAAATTCCTGACAACTTCAATCTTTTCTCCATTTATCATGATGTTGCTTCTTGGTCCGGTTGTGAGTATTTTACTTTTCTTCCTGTCAAAGTGAAATCTATACTGCTGGCTATTGTCTTTGATCTTCATTAGTAAGTGCTTCAAGTCATCTTCACTTTCAGCAAGCAAAGTTATGTCATTTCCATATTACAGATGGTTAATGAGTCTTCCTCCAAATGCTGATGTTGAGTTCTTGTTCATATACTCCAGCTTCTCAGATTATTTGCTCAGCATACAGACTGAATAAGTATGGTGAAAGGTTACAACCCTGACATACACCCTTCCTGATTTTAAGCTATGCAGTGTCCCCTTGTTCTGTTCAAAACATAACTTCTTGGTATAGACCGAGAAATACAGGTTCCTTATGAGGACAATTAAGTGTTACAGAATTACCATTCTTTGTAGTGTTATCCACAATGCATTATGATAAACACAGCTGAATACCTTTGTTTAGTCAATAAAACACAAGTAGATATCTATCTGCTACTCTTTGCTTTCAGCCAAGATCCACCTGATAAGAGCAATGATATCCCTCATTCCACATCCTCTTCTGGCTGCAGCTTGCATTTATGGAAGTTGCTTGTCAATCTACTGCTACAACCATTTTTTAATTATCTTCAGCAACATTTTACTTGCATGTGATAGTAATGATATTGTTCAATAATTTTCACATTCTGTTGAATCATCTATATTTGAATGAACATAAATATCAATCTCTTCCAGTTAGGTGGCCAGGAAGCTGTCTTCCAAATTTCTTGGCATAAATGAGTAATATCCTCCAGTGCTGCATCCATTTGTTGAAACATCTCAATCGGTATTCCATCAATTCCTGGAACCTTGTTTTTCACCAGTTCCTTCAGTGCAGCTTGGACTTCTTCCTTCAATGCCATTGATTCTTGGTCATATGCTACCTTGTGAAATAGTTGGACATTGACCAGTTCTTTCTGATACAAGGACTCTGTGTATTCCTAATA